GGCGCTGGCAGCGCTCGAAGCCTCGATCGGCAGCGGTGCCAACGAGACGCAGGGCGATGGAGTAGGTCCAGCCTGTTTTAGGGTTTAGGGTTTAGGGTTTAGGGTTTAGGGTTTAGGGGTTTAGGATTGAGGGTTGAGGGTTTAGGGTTTCAGGGGGTTTCAGGCTTATGTAATCCTATGGGTTTCAGGGTTTATGGGTTTAGGGTTTAGGGGATTTATGGGGTTTTAGGGTGTAACAAGGTAGGTCCAGCCTAGAGCAGGGTTTAGGGGGCGGAGCTTAGGGTTTAGGGGGTTCAGGGTTTATGGGGTTTTGTAGAGTAATGGAGTTTAGGGTTTAGGGTAAGTCCAGCCTGCACTGTTCAAAGTTCACCCTATATTTTTAGGGTTTAGGGTTGAGGGGTAGGTCCAGCCCAGAGGATGAGCACAGCCTTAGAGGAGGGCTTTAGTAGCAGGCAGGGTCATGGGCTTTAGGGTTTCAGGGTTTATGGGGTTTCTTTTTGTTTTAAAGTGCAATAGCAATGGGGTTTCAGGGTTTAGGGTTTAGGATAGGTCCAGCCTGCAGCGGAGCTTAAGGGTTTATAGGGGTTGTGGGGTAAATCTGTTACTGCAGCGGACTTCCCGTTTCCATGTCGGGGCCTTTGTTCCTAGAGTAGGGTTGGGGGTTTAGGGTTTAAGGACTCTGGTAAATCTGTTGCTTGTAAGGGAAGGAGCCCGAAGAAGGCATCCTGCCATTAGATGGGGTAAAGTACAGCAACTGTCGATGGTTCCATGTTCTTGACCCTTCAACCCACCATACACCTTACAACACAATTTTTAAAAGCCGCAACCCACCTTGCACCCTAAGCCCCTAACCCAAACCCGACTCCCAGTACACCTTAATGTAGGGGCCTTAATAATTACCTAGACCACCCCCCGCCCCAAACCCTATTCTAACTATTAGGAATTGTTAAGCTATTTTGGGGGCTCCTTATTCTAATTATAGTATAGTATACCCCCCGCCAAACCCTATTCTAATCACTAAGGCCCCTACGCCCTACTCCCTGCCTGCATCGTGCTCGGGCATGTAGATGGGGCTCGCCCTGACCTCGACCCCTTTTGTGACACAAACCTGCAACAAGGCAAGGTTCTGTATACCGTGGTTTTGGGGTCCTTTTTATGGGCTCTATGAAGGGTTTTTTGGGGGATGTGACTAGGGCTCTACAAGGGCTGGGTGGTGACTTATTTATGTGTCGAACTTTTGCCTTATTTTATGGCTCTAGATGTTTGGCTTCGAAGCTTAGCACATGGTAGTGCCTTGGGCTTCAGGGTACCTGGGAAACAAGGCATCGCAACCTAGTACCCTGAGCAACAGGATCCTGACTTTACAGAAATCCTTAACCCTAAACGGCCCTAAACCCTCATCATACCCGAAGCCCTAAACCTTCCAACCTAATGGCAACTCCCACTTGGGCTGAAGCAGCGACTCCCTGGGCTTGAACCGTAGGTTGCTGGCGAGAACCCACGGGTCCGAGACCCAGCACCGACCAGGTGCGAAAGTTGGGTTCAGGTTTCAGGGTTTACCTGGGACTCTAATGTAGGGGCCTTATTAGTTAGACTAGGGTTTTGGGGCCCATCATACTATAATCACACTAAAATAACACCCAAAATAGTATAGGTAATTGTTAAGGCCCTTATATTACGCATCGAACCAGGAAACCTTATGAACCCACCCGAAACAATCAAACATGAAGGAGTGACTCGGACTGAATGCTTTGACTCAGGTTTTGGGGGCTACTTCTATACTACAGTGAACCCCAGAAAGTTGGAACACGGGTTTAGGAGGATTGGTGCTAGGATCCCTCATACTTTACCTGAAGGGCATGAGGATATTGATGTTCCAACTTTCTGGTCTCTGCTATACCTTAACCCACCAGAACCTACTTCTTTTTTGTAGGGCCCCTTTAAATCCCATATTAAGGTTTCATAATAAGAACCTACCAAAAAAGTTGGTTTTGGTAGGTTAAGGTAGACAAAGCGTCAACCCGCAGCCCCAAACCCCAACTTCCCTGCCGGAGGAGCCGTCATCTCCGGTGGGGTGGCCGGGAACAGTGAGATGCCCAGCGACATCGGCGATTCCTGCCGACTAAGGCTTAGCAAGTTTTGGGTTTAGGGTTTAGGGTTTTGGGTTTAGGGGTTTAGGGAAGTAGAATGGGGTTAAAGGGCCCATGAAGGAACACTAAGGGATAGTGCTGGTAGTTCTTCCGGCCTCAACATTAGAGTGGGTCGTGATTGGCTACATTGGCTTTACCATGACATGGGCAGAACCTGTACAGTAACCAAGACAGGGCCCTCAACCCTAGACCCTTAACCCCCGAGAAAGAGCCCTCAACCCTAAACCCCCCAAAAGAGCCCTCAACCCGCAACCCTAAACCTCAAACCCCCCAAAAGAGCCCTCAACCCAAAACCCGCAACCTTAAACCCCCAAAAAGGGCCCTCAACCCTAAACCCGCAACCTTAAACCCCCAAAAAGGGCCCTCAACCCTCAACCCTAAACCTTAAACACCCAAAAAGAGCCATCAACCCTCAGCCCTCAACCTTAAACCCCCAAAAAGGGCCCTCGGCTGACCGGCAGAAGGAGTTCGGTGCTCATATTAATGATACGGTTGATGGACAAAATCCTGCATGACCTTATATACCAAAACTATGGGATTTATGGTACTATAGTATACTTGGGTCATGCAGAGGTTTGTCCCTCAACAGTAGGACGTATGGTGTTGATGATAGGGATCGTGTTCATGTAGGGGCCTTTATGATTTCAATAGGGTGTTGGGGTACCTTACAGTACCATTATCATAAGGAAACCTAAAGAACAATGTTCCCGTGTCCCTCAGCGCTCTCTTGCGGATAAATGAGAGGTCCGAGTATGACCGGTATCAAGACCTTCTCGCGTCATGTAGGGGCCTAAATAATTACCTA